CGACTGGTGATTTATATCCTTTGTAATAAATTGGGGGTGTAGTGATTAAATAGTTTTCCTAAATTCTATGTAAACTTGCAGCAAATTAAGCAAACCTGAGAGGAGCTTGTGGAACCTCTAATTTATAGCTTTTCCTTGTAACAGATGTCCTTGCATCTGAAGTCTTGGGAGACTGTGGATTCCATTGCTGTCTCTGGGAAGAACTGAACTGAATTAAGTTGAACCTCAGATACCTTGAGTGTGTGAAAACTGCTTGTTGATATGGGAAAGCCTACACACACATTAGAATTGGGTCCAGGAATCCAAGGTTAAATAATATTTAATTAAAAAACACTACAAGGGTTGTCAGTGCTGTGTTGGGAGACAATGAATGAAATGAATACTTTTACACTAAAAGGAAGCACACAAATGCAAATGAAAATAGGCAATGATGTGAAATAACTGGACCACTAATTTGTTAATGGTGGGAATGCAAATTACCATTTTGAAAGGCAGTTTGGACCTTTCTTTAAAAACTAGACTTACTTTTCTCTGATGACCCAGCCATTATACTCCTTGGTATTTATTCAAATGAGTTTTAAAAAATGTATATAAAAACCTGCTCAAGGATATTTAGAGCAGTTTTATTCATAAATGGCAAAACTTGTAAGTCTCTAAAATATCTTTCAGTGGGAGAATGAATAAGTTATGATACATTCAAAGACTGGAATATTATTTAGCACTAAAAAGTAATAAGCTATCAAACCCTAAAAAGACATGGCAGAACTTTAAACGAGTATGACATAATGACGAAGCTATTCTAAAAGGGTTATCTAATGTACAATGCCCACTATATGCCATTCTGAAAGGATAAAGCTAAGGAAATAAAAATATCAGTGATTGCCAGGGTTGGTTGGGAGAGAGGAAGGAAAAGGTGTAGCACAGATGGTGAAACTATCCTGTGTGCTACTTATAATGATGAATACATTTTATTACACAGTTGTCAATGTCTATAGAATATGCAACACCAAAACTTTAAACTGTAGGTTTGAGGTGGTAATGATATGTCAAGTGTAGTTTCAGGCATTGGGGATACTGATAGTGGGGAAGATTATGCATGTGTAGAGGTAGGGAGTACATGGGAAATCTGTGCTTTCTGCTCATTTTTTCCATAAACCTAAAAAACTTTCTTAAAAATCCTATTTAAGTGTTAAAAGAAAAAGAAGTACTACCTCACATCCATGAGGACAGCTACTACCAAAAAGTGTTGGTGAGGATAAGGAGAAATTAGAACTCTGTGCACTCTTGATGGGAGTGTGAAAGTATGTACCTGCTGTGAAAACAGTATGGCAGTTCCTGAAAAAATTAAAAATAGAATTACCATCTGATAGCAATTCAAGTTCTCAGTGTATACCCCAAGAAAGTAAAAGCAGGATCTTGAAGAAGTATTTCTATATCCATGTTCATAGCAACATTATTCACATTAACGAAGAGTTGAAAATAACCCAAGTCTCTCTCAGTGAATGATAGGAAAACAAAATATGGTGTATATATATACAATGCAAATATTATTCAACCGTAAGAAGGATGGAAATTATGACACATGCTACAATAAAATTGATGCTTGAAGACATTATGCTAAATGAAGTAGGCCAGTCACAAAAACTAAATATTGTATGAGTCTATTTATATAAGGTATCAAATTCATAGAGACACAAGTAGCAGAGGCCCCTGGGGGCGTGGGGGCATTTATTGTCTAATGAAGCTAGTGTTCCACTTTTGCAAGAGGTTGCGAAATAAAGCAAATATATTTAATATTATTAAACTGTACACCTAAAAATGCTTAAGATGATAAATTTTGTGTGTATTTTACCACAACTAAAAATCAAAGAAAAAAAAGAAGTTTTCAGCTTTCTTATGGATATTATGAAACATGAAAACATTTGATTAAACTTCAATAAGGCAAATGCTCCCAGACAAAATCAAAAGGCAAATATTAAACTGGGGGGTGGGGAAGTATTTGCAAACCTTGTAATAGGAAAAAGGCTGATAGTATCACTAATATAATTTACAAAGGACTCAAGAAAACAAAGCTGATCTATCCAGGAGAAAAAAAAAATCAGTAAATGCCAAACATTTAATCTTATTATTTACAAAATTAAAATTTTAATTCTAAAACAAGATGCCAAATTTCTCCTTTCAGTTTCAGAAAAATTAAAAAGATAACTAATCACCAATGCTGTACATAGTTCTTTCAGTCACAAGAAGAGTCAGAGGATGAAGGTGACTCATTTGTGCAACTGCCTGCCAAAGAAAACAAATGAAGATGTTGTGTATTTTCACAACGTGAAAGAGATCAGAAATCATAAGAAAAAGCTAAACAATTTTAAGGTGTGGAGTCATAAAATTAGTATGTTCCAAATGGGATGGACAAAAAAATCACATTGACACTGCTCAGTGTCTGAAGAGTAAAAGTGATGCTCTCCTACTGTATTGGCAGGTGTGTGAACTTATACAATCCTTTTGGAGGACAGTTTGGCAGTTTTCACCAATAATTCAAATGTTCTTACTTGATCAATTAACTAGACTTTAAGAAATAACTTGCATGAGTGCATGAAGGTTCATACGTAAGTTTTATCAATTGCAATGATGTTTGCATATATGAAAAACTGAGAGTAACCCAGGAACCCAACATTAGGATATAAAAGTTGAGTACTTCTGGCACCTAATCTAGCCTCTGGCCTCCCCTACCTTCTTTTTCTCTATAAAAGTCACACTCCAGCTCTTTAAGAATTTCCCGAGAATTTCAGTTTGTTCAGATAGACTTTCTTTCTCATCTCTGGCCTCTGAATCACAACTAGTTCCCTTTGCTTATAGAATTTTTATTGTTTATTGACTGATTGTGTCGACTAGTTGTGAACATTCATGCTGGCCATGGTGCTGATGACAAACAGGGGACTCAGTCAAGTCTTCTCAGTTTGAAGGGCAATACTGCTTCCTGAGACCCTTGATAGGGCAAGAGAGACTCGCACCTTTTTCCTGCCCGGGTCATCACCTGGACACCAGCTCTCAGCTGCCTTGGCCAGTCAGGGCTGACAGATCTCTGTCTCTGCTGGACAGCTCCAGTGAGTGTTTTTCCAGGGATCTGAAACTCAGGGAAGCCTCCTGAGGGACCTGGAACTTAGACTCAGGGCTAAGCAACAGACTAGTGGGCAAAAGGTGAGTAAGTATACCCTAGGATGGCTACGGGGTCCCTGCACTACAGAGGGCAAAGGTAAGCCCTAATGGAAAGCTTTCCCAAATCTTTCCCCTGGGGTCTATCAGCAATGGGTACTCCTTATCTACATACCTCCACCTCCCTCAATCCTCAGTTAATAGGAAAGACAGACTTACACCGAGCCATTGTAGCAAGACAGCAAAACCACCCAGAATTCCTACACAGTCCCCAAAGTGCATAGAGTTGTCCCTTGTCCAGTGCAAACTCAGACAGTTAAAAGTCAAAGGGAAATGCCATCCAGACCTGGGAGAGAGAACACCCACTGCCCTTGATAAAAATTCTTAAGCCCCTTGACTGAGTCACGTGGGTGCCCAGGACATCTTAAACAAGTATTCTGCATATACTTCTTCTAGTGAGGGGTAAGTGTTGGGCACCTGTGTGGGGAGGTTTGGAAAACACAGAGCCCTCCCTATCCCCATGGTTTCAGATTCTGGAGGTCTGGACATAAGCATTTCTAACACTGTTAAGTCTTGTTAGGTGTGCCTCAACCCCAAGGCAGCTCCCCTGTCCTGTAATTCCCAATGTTTAGGGACAGGTAGAGGAAATCCATAAAGAAAAGAAGAAAGGTAGAGGAAATTATAAAGTTCTAGATGCCAGAGTGTCCTGGGACCCCTCGGAGACTCATTCCAGGACTTAGGAGCTTGTGTGAAGGGCAGCAGGAGAGCAGGGAACACAGGATTTTTCTCCCAGATCTGGATGTCATTTCCCTTTGACTTTTAATGCTCCTGGGCTAGCATCAGACAAGGGACAATTGTACCTACTCTGGGGATACTATATGGGTGTCCCAGGCCAACCTGGTGGCAGCAGGCTCCCCAGACTGAGGAGGAAAGGGTGGAGGGAGGAGGTCCACTGCCATTCTTGGTATGGTTCTCTGTCCAGGAGCGGAGCGTGTCTAGCCTCATTCTGGGCAGCTTATAAGGCCTGGTGTAAGTTTTGTTTATGCAAGAGCAGCATAAAAGGAACAAATCCAATAGCACAGAGCCGTTGCCACTTGAATCCTTTTGCATACATTTTTCAAATGATAATTCACTCTACCCAACTCCCTTCCCCACCCCCAAGGCCGATTTATTGAAAAAACCACCTTATATGGTAATATTGCTAACACACCGTCAGCTGGCCTTTTTAGGGACTCTGTTTAAAGAAGATCCGCCTCTGGGGTTTTATATTGCTCTGGTATTTATGCCAAGGACACACCAGCCCTCAGTGACTGGGAGAAGGACTTCTTGTCCACTTGGTGAGTACCATATCTCTTCCTTTCTGGGGCTGCTGGGCCCCCTGGGTGCAGGAGGTGCCTCCAGATTGGCTTGGCTTCCATGACGCTGGCCCAAGTCACACATCAGAGGTCAGCTGTGCCTCCAGTCACACTGCTGCCTGTCAGGCAGGAAAAGGCATTTCTGACCATGGGGCGCCCCAGTGCAGGGCAGCCCTCCGGACTGGGTGGTGGATGGGCTATCACAACTGCATTCCCTACTCTCCTGCTCAGCAGGGCCAGGGTATCCTGATGTCCTGGCTCGGAATTTCTGGGAGGTTGTGTTAAGAGAGAAGATGCTTTTCAGAAAAAAGTTTCTTCTCAAAGTATTTGAATGAACGCCAGCGATGGTGCCATTGTCTGTGAGGCTTCCGTGCTGGGAATGAAAGTGTATTTTCTCAGTCCCCAGAGGTTTTGCTGTCCTCTGATTAGTGCTTCACTAAAGCAAATGGAGAATTTTCTCAGTCATTGAAGCTTCTTTGGAAGATGGAGGAAGTCAAGGATGGGGTAGAGGCAAGTGCAAAAGACTCAAACCAGCTGTGAAACCAAATGGGAATAACAACATCTATTTGGCAGTGCTGTGTGGGGATGAAATAAGGCCATATGGGTAAGTGCTTGGCTCAGTGCTGCCGGGGACTAGTACTCAAACTTTAAGAATTATCTGGAGGCTTTATTTGAAATACAGTTTGCCCCACACCCCAGCTCTGACTCAGTAGGCTGGGATGGGCCTGATCGTTTGCATTCCTAATCAGCTCCCCAGTGATGCTGAGCCTGCTGGTAGGCACCACAGTTTGCATAGGGAAGCTCCAAGAGCATGCTTTTGTTATTTGAATGGGTTTGGACTTTGGACTGAAAGGAGACAGTGCTTCCTGTGACAGAGAAATTGCCAGAAGCAGAAAGGTTCTACTGCCAGGCTGGGAGTGGATGGGCAGCATGACATCATGAACTTGACCCTGGATTTCTTTCTTCCTTTTCTTTGTTTAGTCCACCAACATTTATTGAGCACTTCTGTGCCAAACACGGTTTCTACTCCTTTGGGAAAAAGAACGGCTTCTGCAATCACTGGGGGAAACCAATAGATGAGACCTATGGAGTAGATAAATGGGTGAAAGGGGTAAAGCTCAAAAGGAACCCCCTCATCCAATAGAAGGGGTAATGTAGAGAAAGGGGTAACATGGGCCTCATACTGAAGTAGAAGTAGCCCCAGCACAGAGGCAGCATGGCCTGTGGGACCCCAAGTTCCTCCACTCCACTGAATTTAGATTTCAAGGTAGGAAACAGCATGAACTAAGATCACAGTGGAGCAAACAGAGCCAGATTACCCCAGCTTTATAAAGAATTGGGCAATGAGGGAGGGGTCACAGATGGGTGAGGCCAAGAGATTTTCCTTTAGAAGGGACTGCTGTGGCATGGTAGACTGGATCATGTTGTAAGGTAATCCCAAACTGGTGGCATGGAGGTGTAGCTAAGGGGGTCAGGGATAGGTTAGGAATGAGGAAGAGTCAGAGTGCTGGAGTGGATGTCAGCACAGGTGGTGTGATTCTTTAAAGGGTAAGGAGGAGAACAGTGCATGGGATGGAGGTGAGGGCCAGAGGTTTAGAGAACCAGCAGGCAGTTGGCTTACAAATCTGGCACTCAGCGACAGGATCTAGACTGGAGCTGAGCTGAGCTGAGCTAGGAGAGACCCAGGCAAAAGTCAGCAGATCAGAATCAAATAGCAGGTTCCCAAGGATCAGTTATATTACTAGCTAGAAGTCACTTCTTATTTAATTAATGTCTATCGATCAAGTCAAAATATCCTGAAGTTAGAGTTTTCCACTGTGGGAGTGTTGTTCATGAAGTTATTTCTCTGACAGGCTCTTTGATCATGAGGATATATGTGTGCATGTGCAGATTCTATATAATAGCAGTGGTTTAGATATCACTTGAAACCCTTACCCCCAAATACTTCTCCACAATTATTTAAAGTCTCACCATCCAAGAGGGCTTCCTTCTAGGGCTTACATTGCCTGCTAAAATGAAAATGTCTTTGGGGACTAGTATAAATTCAACCTTCAGTAACCATTGATTTGTGAAATGGCTCATTCAGCCCCTTCCAGGGTGAGACACCATCCCAAGTTTTGATGGAGAAAAAGCATAAGAGAAAGAATAAGAATGAATATTTTTGCAGGCTTTTACAATAGGGATGGGCATATTTTTTTGTAGAGTGACAGTAAATATTTTAGGTTTTGCAAACCTAACAGTCAATGTCACAACTAAACAGCTCTGCTGTTATAACAGCGGCAGCTGTGGGCAGCATGTAACTGAATGGGCTGGCTGTGTTCCAATAAAACTTTATTTATAGACACTGAAAGGTGAATTTCATAAGATTTCCTTCAGTCGTAGAATATTATTCTTTTGCTTTTTTGCACTCATTTAAAAATGTCAAAATCATTCTTATTTTGTGGGCTACACAAAAAATAGGCCTTAGTTTGCTGACCCTGATTTACAATTTATAAAGCACTTTCATTTGCATTGTTGCATTTGATCCAAGAGACAGATGTTACTGTTTCCTTTTTAGAGTTGAGGAAACCGAAGGTCAGAGAGGGAGACATAGGACTGGGCCATGAGTAGGGATTCCCCTAGGGAGAAAGGCAAAGAAAGGAGAGGGTGAAAGAACTAAGCCAAACCTGTCTCCTCAGGGTGATGGGAAGGGGGCTTGAGTGCCAGGGAGGTGAGTGTGTGTGCGAATTCTTTGTACTGATTTTGAGTTTTGGCTATCTATTTTTTTGGGTGGGGTGGGATGTGGGGAAGTGTTTCTAACTCTGTGACATCTTCAATGAAGCCCAGATGTAGTAGTTGCTAAAAGAGCCAGAACAATTCATTTGGCATTCCGTGAACGCACAGCGGCTGTGACCCCAGGAAACCACAGTGACTTTGGCTTAGCTTCAGCTGACACGCTCAAGTCTAGCCACAAATTACCAGCAAGCAGCTGAGGAAGGTTTAAGATTTCTCCTGGCAGAGACTTCGTAAAAATCCTTCTTCCCAGGCCAGCGTGGGGCCCCAAGGAGGCTCAACTTTCGGCCTACAGCCCAAACCCTGCCTTAGCCTCGCTCACTTTAAAAAAGCAGATTTAAATCCACCCACAGAGCTGCAGAATGTTGTTGTTGACAGCTTTCAGTTGCATTGTACCTTGTCTCAACTGCTGCTCTACTTGGGAAAAAAGTCCAGCCCCCTCTTTCTTCAAGTGCGTGGGGAGTAGAGACAAAAGTGCTCATTGAAAAGCCAGGCAGACTTGCACTATAAATTGCAAAAGCGAGGAATGCGAGGGCACAGTCACAGAGGTGCAACTTTGCCTCTTGGTCAACTTCCAGCTCTCAAGGTAGCTTTCCCCTGCAGGTGGAGCACCTGCTTCCAACAGGGACAAGTAACTGTTTGTGAAGCAAATTGTCCCCAGGTGGCTCTTAATCAGGCCCCACCACTAAGTTGTCAAAGACTACTGTGGAGACTCACGGAGACTGGAGCATCAGAGACAAGGGCATAGTGAGGGTGCGAGGGAGCCACTCAGCTGGTGGCGGTGTCCTCCAGCATTTAGTGAGCACCTACTGTGTGCTGGAGACCAAGTTAGGTGCTGGAACTAGCAACACTAAGTGGGATGTACCCCTGCCATAGGCAGGTCTCAGAGGCTCGTGGAGAGAAGAGAACACTGAGCCTTTTGTTTGAGGGCCTTTCCTGGCAACAGCTCCAGAGAGACAGAAATGCAGAAGCAAAAATACCAAACTTGGAGAAGTTAGGACTTTTCCACTAAGGTGATGAGGAAGGTGAAAGCTCAGATTTTGGAACCTGTTGTGGGTCAGTCTTGCCTGTTCCCAGCAAGGTGAGCTTGTACTAAATTCTTTCACTTCCCTGAGACTTGGTTTTCAAATCTACAAAGTGGGATTAAAATTGTCTTCTCTCAGGGTTTTTGTGAGGATTACATAGCTAATAAATAGTGAGTGAGTGAAGAGTTACCAAATGTTTTGAAATTAAAAATACATTTTTACCAGAAACGGAAATGTAAGTCCTACTGCTGTTAACCTGACACAGCAGCTGGCAACTTTTGCATTAGATACTCTGTTGTCTCCATTGTATAGAAGTTTCTGGCAATGATTTTACAAAGCAACTTGCTTTCAGTAACTTTTTTGGACAGCAAGGTGATTATTAATTTTCATTATTTTAAATGAAATTGTGATAACCTGACTTTTGGCTAAATCTTTTCATTCATCCCTTTGTGTTTCCCAAGAGTAAGTTCTGAAAGGTGCCTCTGTGGAGGCAAAGATAATACACTATTTTTTTTTAATTTTATAATAGTTATTTTTACATCATTTTGTACATTTTTTTCCCATCTCAGTTTTAATCCCTGCAGGTTTTCCATCACAGATACATTAGTAGTGAGAGGATTCACCAGAGACAGAGTGGGGAACAGAACAAGCAGATCAACTGAAATACACTGCTGAGGGGAGTAGTGGGTGAGCCAGGAGAGGTCTGCTGCGCCATGTGGGTCAGCTCCTTGGCTGGAATTGAACTTGTGCTGCAGTGGCTTCGGAGAGCTTCATAGTGCTATGCTTTAACCTACTGTGCCACCAGGTAGAGCCCCATTTTTAAGGCTCTTGATAAGAACTAGACACAGTATTTTGGCCTAGGGTGAGGTCCTGGGTCACTGATGTGGGACAAGAGCTTTCATAGTTTTGTTAGAGTCACATGCAGAGGTCACATTTATACTATTAAATCTAATTTTATTGGATACAGCTCATTTTTTCTGCTTTTTGTGATCTTGGATTTTGATTCTTCCATTCAATATACTTAATATCACTCCCTCCCCCATATCTGTTTTATCTGGAAATTTGATCAGCATGTGCCATTGTTTCCATCTAACCCATTTATAAAAATGTAACACAAGAAAAGGCCAAGAGTAGAGCCTGAGGCAGATCCCTGTCTGGTGGCTGACAGTGACAATAACTCAGGCAGCTATAAATATGCCTCATTGATTTATTGTTCAGCCCACCTGGCTTTATCATAAGAATATCACAGGAGACCTTGTGAGATGCCAAGATGAGGTTAAACTAAATGTCTCCCAACTTTTGCATTCTCAGCCTGGGGAAGGGAGGCTGTTACTTTTACATATTTGCTCCTTACTAATTATAAGGAATCATAGCTTCTTTAATAATGTTTCTGGAATCTCGCCTAACTTGCATATCAAGATTATCTGATTTTAGGAATCATGCCTCATTTCCCTTTTAGAACACTGAAGTATCGTTTGCCCATCTCCAGTCTCCTGACATCTCTACTTCTCCCTTCTTCCAATGTCATAGGAGGTTAGGGAGCTCTTCTGCATCCAGAGTCTGTTCAGACACAGAGAGACAGTATCACTTTGAGGAGCTAGGTGCTTTCCTTTATTTGCCACCTAATCTCAGGCCTTGATTTTCTTTACCAATGTTTGTTCTACCTTTGTTATTCCGGAAGTCCTTCCATTAGTCATTCATTCATTCAATTCTAGAGTTTACTCTGCAGTCAGTGTGCTAGCCACACAAGTCAGACCCAACTCCTGCCTTTATAGAGTTACAGATTAACTGGGATATACAGAGCTGATCATTGCTCCAGCAAGTTCAAAGTACTGTAGGAGCTTTACTCCCTCTTCTTTAAGAGGGTGCACAAAGTGAACCAGTAGGCCAGAGAGACCTCCTAAAAATCCAGTGATAGGAGCTAGAGAGGCAGATGGGAATGTGCGTTGGTGAGGGTTAGGGGGTTCGCAGACCTGCAACAAAGGTCCAGAAGGGGAGCCACAAAGTACAAGGGGGAAGACAGGTCTGTAAATGGACAGGCAGAGGCCAGACGCTGTTGGGGCCTAGTGAGTGAAGTTAAAGAGCTGGGACTTGATCTCCAACATCAGGGGGTGGGCTGGGGTGGGACCATAAAGATTAAGAGACAGAAGCAGAATGGATTGGAGAAGATTTGGCATTCACCTTTTCCCAGTCTCTTGTCTCCTTTGTCTGGACTTGTCTCCTTTGCCTTCCCAGGTTTCCAGCTGGGACCTTCCCACTTTCTTGCTGTCCCACCCCAGGCTTCCAGGCAATCACGCACTGTCTCCTGAGCTTCTGCTGCTTCTCCATCATCCTGTGCCAAGATTTTGTCAGATGTTCTCCTTTAACACCCCTGTCCCACACAAGAAAGAAAACTTGCAACAGATGTTGAAAAAATTAATTCTCTCACTACTTTGCAGCTGTTTCAATTCAAATACCACCGTAGAGATGGGATTTCTGTTTTCTCCATCTTGGGAGGAGGCAGTGAGCCCCATCAGCAATGATCTTGCTTTCCTCTCTCCTCTCCGGTCACCCTTCCTCCCCTAGGTGCTTCTACCTGTAACTACTGCATCTTTTTTTCCTTCACTACATGTTATGTTACTGATTTGAATTGCAAACTACATGTGAATATAGATTGTTTATAAGCAAATGAAATGTCACAGCACTAATCCAGCACCTCCCCTCCAAGGAGGCCCCTTCCCCACTTAATCACTGTGATCTAGCTTAGACTTTTTTCCCAGAGCTTTTTGCTATGTGGTCATACCCACAAAAAAGAACATCTGGAAAATACACAATCTTGTTTTGCGCTTTAAAAAAACTCACATGAATGGCTTTATGCTCTATATCCTATTCCACATCCATGCTCTCTTCTCTAGGTTGAATGAGCGAACCCGTGTAGATCTGCCTGGCTCCACGGGATTTCAGTATCTCAGTTTGGACTTTTGGGTAGTTCCACAGTTTTGAGAGTGTCAGTCTTTCCACACCTTTGTGACACCTTTTATAAAACTTTAAATCTTAACAATATGATGGGGGAAAATAGTCTTATTTCACTTGCACTTCCTTAATAACTCATGAAGCCAGCATCTTTTCATATAGCTGCTGGTATTTGCATTTCTGTCAGTCAGTTGTCTATTCATAATGGTCTTTGCTTTTCTTCTGGGCTGCTTACTTCTTTCTTAGAAATGTGTAAGAGTTCTATATAGTAAGTAACACATGAAGTATATATTCTGAATAATAATCCTCTCTATGTAGTACATAATAATTCTTTGTTATGTATTTTACAAATTCTTTAATTCCTTTCCTAACCCTTAAGTCTTTTAGTAGTTACTGCCACTGGATTAAAATTTTACAGCCACTTATTAGTTCGCTAGAACTGCCATAACAAAGTACACAGTTTGGGTGTGTTAAACACCAGAAAGTTATTTTCTCATAATTCTGGACAGTCAACATTTAAGCTCAAGGTGTCAGCAGGGTTGGGTTCTTCTGAGGTCTCTCTCCTTGATGGCCATCTTCTCACCTAACTTCCTTTTATTATAAAGACACTCATCCTATTCAGTTATTTATTTAATCATGTTGGATGCCAATCATGTTACCTTATCTTACCTTAATTACCTCCTAAAGACAATCACACTCTGAGGTCTGGGGCCTGGGACTTCAACATATGAACCTGGGGAAACACAATTCTGCTCAATGCAGTAGAGTAGAAGGAAGAAGTCCAACTACCAGAGAATGGAGGCCAGGTCCCCACCTGTCCCTACTGGTACTGGGCCCTGGTTGCAGGGATAGTCAGGCCTCAAAGCCAAGAACACTGTCAGTAACCTGACTTGACAAGAGGCTATTTCTCTCCTCCCCCAACCCCCAAGGTGCTCCAGCCCCTGGTTCACTTGGCCACACTCGCCATGTGTGAAGAGGAGACCACTGCTCTTGTGTGTGACAATGGCTCCGGCCTGTGCAAAGCTGGCTTCGCAGGAGATGATGCCCCCCGTGCTGTCTTCCCATCCATCGTGGGTCGCCCTCGCCACCAGGTGTGTGCTCATCTGGACCCAAGGCTTTGAGCCAGTCAGAGTAAACACTCCACTGTGGAGATGACTGAGGGGTATTTGTGTGTGTGTGTGTGTGTGTGTGTGAGAGAGAGAGAGAGAGAGAGAGAGAGAGAGTGAGAGGGCAAAAGTTTATGAATTAGGTCCTGTTCTCTTGGGCAATACATTGTCTTAAGAAAGAGAAGAGAGACATTCCACAGAAATATACCTTCTTTTCCCCTTGACCTCCATATTCACTGTATCTACTCCACTCTTATCTTCTGCTGTCCTTTTTCCCTGGGAAAAGGATATTTTTCTATTTTTGTTCTTCTTCAGAGAATCTCCAATGCCTGAGTCCCTCTGAATGGAGACCTTTGCCAATCCACTTCTCCCTTCTCTTTTGCATTGCAGGGTGTCATGGTGGGAATGGGCCAGAAAGATAGCTACGTGGGGGATGAGGCTCAAAGCAAGCGAGGTATCCTAACTCTCAAATACCCCATTGAACACGGCATCATCACCAACTGGGATGACATGGAAAAGGTATTGATGGACCCCCTCCTTTAATGTGCTGGTCAGTAACACGGTGTCATGATGCTGGGCTCCCACAGGCCCCTGTCAGCTTGTCCCCTAAAATGTTTCTCATGTGTTCCCTCTCTTCTGGTCCATCTTCATGGCCATTCTCCAGTCTCTGCTGTCTGCAGCTCACTGGACTATATCCTAACTGATTTCTTTGTCTCCTGCCTCACTCACCCAATTAATTCTCTACACTGCTACAAAGCTTTCTTTCTAAAAACAGATCAGATCATGTCACTCACAGCCTTAGAAATCTGCAGTACTCCTCATTAACCAACGGTAGGTTCCTACCTTGTCTGGCATCTGAGGACCTGGCCCTGCCTGATTCCCAGCCTCATCCTCTCATGTGGCTTTCACTCCAGTTTTGTGCTTATCCTTTCAAAATGCTGCTGCTGCCTTGAGAGAAGTAAACAGCTCTCTCTCCCTTTCATTGTCCCTGTCATGGCTTCCGACAGATGCACTGGTGTTGGATTATAATGATGACTCTTCAATGAAAATTTTTAAGGAGGAATCTCTAGGGGTTTCTAGAAGCTTTTTTATGTAAGAAAATATAGCACGATAGTCCATTTCAAAATGTAGTTTGTGATAAACAGAATCATGCATGCAAAATGCTAATAGGGCTTTTTAAATATTCTTTTGATGAATTCTGCTGACAGCTGTCTGAGAGTTATTGATTCTGCAGTGACGGGCTTTGGAAATATAATAAAGGGCTTGTTAAGCAGATTGCAACTGGGAATAAAGAATGTTGATTTGAAATCCATAATTCACATATACTTTCTCTAAGTCTTAAATTCACTCAGTGGTAGTGAAATAAATAAATAAGATAGAATAGCTTTTGCTTCACACAGTGGCACAGTTTAGAGCACAGGCTCTATAGTCAGTGGCAGGGGGATCTGGATGCAAAACCTTCCTCACAGCCTCAGTTTCCTCTCTTGTGGAATTGAAAAGACTTTCTTCATTAGGAGATTGAATATTCAAGGAAATTGATAAGTGCTTAATATAATGCCAAGGCATTGAACGTATTTAATGCTCAACAAATGACATGTTCTGTCCATAAACATCTAACAATAGCCACCTAGCAATATCTAATTCAGCATATTAGAAAAAAAATTTAATTCACAATATTGGAACTATGTGAACTCTTTAAGTAAACCCTTAAACCTGTAGTATGTATCTTCAAGAAAATCCTGAATAGGTTAAAGCTATCTAGTCTACCCAAATTATTAATGTATAGGTATGTTGCCATTCCAATAAAAATTTCACATATTTTATTATATAGGAGTTGAAATGCTTATATATTATGAATAATCACCATATTCAAGCTGTTTCACACATCTATTCTCTCACAATTACCTTACTCTTTGTGATAAGAACACCTAAGGTTTACTCTCTTAGCAAATTTCAAAAACACATTACCCTATTGTTACCTAGAGTCACCATATCGCTGACCTTAGATCTCCAGAATTTATTGATCCTGTATAACTGCTACTTTGGACCCTTGACCAATGTTCCCCCAACCACACCCAGCCTCTGGTTCTACTCTCTGCTTCTATGCAAATTATGCAAAATAAGCATAAAAAGATGGAAAAATAAATAAGGCAAAAATAATGAGTATAATTTGAATAAAAATGTATGGGAAGATAATAATAGCAATAAAAGAAATTCTTGAGAAAAGATTTGCCATATCTAAATATATCTAAATATTAAAGTAGAATATGGTTATAGAAATTAAAACAGTTTAGTGCTACTATGGGTGGGAAGAAGATTATTCAATGAATTATTCTGAAACAACTGATTAGTTATTTGGTGGGTGAAGAGTATTTGTTTATTCCCCTTACCTTATCCCATTGCATTAAACACATAGTAACTGAATATAAAAGTTCAATATAAAAATTCAAATGATAGAAATATAATATAGTAGATTTATATTTTTTACAAAAGAAGCCATAGAGAAAAAAATTTTAAATTTTGACTTCTTAAAAAATTATTTCTGGGCCCTCCCTGGTGGCGCAGCGGGTTAAAGCACCGCACTAAGAAGCTTAAGCCAATTCTGCATGAGTTCAACCCCCGCCTGCCCCGGAGGAGACCACATGGCGTGGCAGACCTCTCCTGACCCGGCCCGCTGCTCCCCTCAGCAGTGTACTTCCTCAATCTGCCTGTTCTGCTCCCCACTCTGTTCCTGGTGAATCCTCTCACTCTCTGCATCTCTGGCCTGTACTCCAGTTCTGTATGAATAAATAAATAAATCTTTTAAAAAATTAATTTCTAATATGTGAAAAATAAAACCAAATTTAAAAGACAAATTGCAAAAAATATTCATAGCAAGTGCAACTGAAGATTAATGCAAACAACTAATACAATTGATAGTTAAAAATACAAAATCTCTACCACACAAATAAACAAAAGATATGAAAAGATAATTTGTCAAACAGAAATTATAAAAAGTTGTAAATCTGAAAAAAGGTTTAAACATAAAACAACTAGGTATTTTTGCTATCAAATTATTAAGAGTGAGAACAGAACACCAGCTGCAGGTAAGAGTGTGGCAGAACAGGGACTTTCTTATTCCAGACTAGAGACAAATAGAGCCCATGTTTGCAGAAATCCTGGCATCACTCATAAAGACTCATTGCCATCTCCTTCACGTCCCCTGTGAAATAGTCAGCCTCCAGGGTCTCTGCTTGTCAGTTTCCTTTACCTCAGAGGTCCTTTGGCGCCTCTGGAGACATTCTTTGACCAGAATCTCCCATGTCTCATTCACATCTACCCTCATCATATTTAGCAACATCCCCAGCACAAAGCCAGAGTCTCCAAAACATATGGATACAACTGAATCAAGTATTCCTCCTCTGAGAGGATCCAAGTCCTGTGCCGTTTCACTCTGCCAAATCCCTCTGAGGTGAAGTTTCCTATTTGATTGTCACAGATGATCAAAGAAGGAAGTGGATGCAGAGGAAAGAAATACGTTCCACTAAAGCCATGATTCTCAACCGGGGGCAATTTTGCCTCCCAGGGGATATTTGGCAATGTCTGGGGCACTGTCACAGCTGGAGAGGTGCTACTGGCAAGTTCTGGGGAGGCCAGGGAGGCTGCCAAGCCTCCTGCAATACACAGGTCAGCTGTCCACAACAAAGAATTATCCAGAAGGAGTGGTGTCAAGGTGCTGAGAACTCCTGTCCAAAGTCATAGCCTGTTCACTAATAAGCAGTGAAATTTAAAAGCGTTTGTCAGGTTCCCAGCAGGACACAGCTGGGGACACTTGGCTGGGGTTTTGAAATTAATTTAAAGAAGGACTACTACAGAGGTGTGAGCAAGGTGAGGGGACCAGAAAAAGATGTCGAGGTACTCAAGTACTAGAAACAGAGGAAAGCCTGAAGGAGAGACAGCAGTGTTATTGGGGTTCAGTGAGATGGAGCCCTGGAAAAGGGGTCACCCAATAGGACTCATGGCATGAAAAGCCACATCATTGCTGGAAGGAAAACCCTAATCTCTCTCTCCTTTCACTTTCTAAACTTTTGCTGGTATCTTCCATCAGGCAAATACTACCAGAAGCCAGAAAGCAAGGAATACTGAGAGAGACCATTGTCCCAGCCCCCTGCGGGGAGGAGAAGAGGAGAGAAGGGAGGAGAGTAGGAAAGAGAGAAAGTCAGATGGAGATAATCAACACACTAAGTGTATTAACTGAATCCTGCCTCCAATCATGTTGACAAGGACTATCACTTCTAAATGTCAGTTAGAAATTCCCACTGCTGATGGGTCTCTCCAGGTCCAGCCCTTCCTGAGAATGCTCTGCCATACTTTCCTAACAGAGGCTTGTCAGTCAGCATTTTCCAGACCACTGAGAATCTCATTTGACTTTTGCTTCAACCAGATCTGGCACCACTCCTTCTATAATGAGCTGCGAGTAGCACCTGAGGAGCACCCTACCCTGCTCACGGAGGCCCCCCTAAATCCCAAAGCCAACAGGGAGAAGATGACCCAGGTAAGAGGCCAGGAAGATGAGTTCTGCACAAGAATACGGCACAGATGCTTGGCTGGGCCCTTCTTCCTACCCATGCCTCAACACAGTTAGTTGTTTTTTTTTTTTTTTATAATAGTTTGTTTTTACATATTTTTGTGCATTTTTCCATCTCAGCTGCAATCCCCTTGGGTTTCCCATCCCCAAGTCACTCATGTGTCATCACCATAGTCCAGTGCGTGTCCCTCCCCCACTGTTTTTGATCCCACTCCACCGCCACAAAATGTCTCTGGTATAGATCAACACAGTTTTTTAGAGGAAGTGCAGGTACATATCCATGCCAGCGGCTATGAGAGGTAGGAGTGGGTTAAATAGGCACAGCCCCTGTTCTTCATAAGAATAGTCTGTCAGCCAAGAGGTACTGTGGATTTTGCCAGATTGTCCTTAATTTTGCACTCTTTTCAGATCATGTTTGAAACCTTCAACGTCCCTGCCATGTACGTTGCCATCCAAGCTGTGCTCTCCCTCTATGCTTCTGGCCGCACAACTGGTAAGCAGCCTGCCATGGCTTCCTTTTCTGACATCAAGGTGAGGTAAGGTGAAGCTGGTTCCCTACGGAGTCTCCTGCTCAGAAAAGTCAAAGGAATGGCCCAAGTCCAGGGAAAACCTTGCTTAGGAATAACAGGAGGGCAGACCCATGTGGATTGAAGGCATGAGTCTGCCTAGTACAGCAGGAAAGACGTTACATGCCATAACGAGTAGATCCAGCCAAGCCATTTCCCTCATGGTGGTCAGCCCAGGAGCCATACTGGAGTGTTTCTGCTCGTGCAGCAAACACAGCACTTGTGATAGTGGATATAGAAGTACGTGATGTTGGTATGGAAAGATGCTCAGGGAGACAGATGGATCTTCAAAATAAAGCAATTTTGAATTGAGATCTGATTGCTTCCATGAATATCATTCAAAAATTCATTCATTCTCATGTTCATTAGTTTCTCCATTCCCTCCTTCATTAACCCTTTCCCATTACTCCCTACCATGTGCTCTCCCTGCAACAGGCTGTGCTACACTGACAAACAAGACACCAGACACTGTGGAGCTAGCCACCGAAGTGGGGAGGTCCACAAGTAAAAGATAATGTTACTATAGGCAATAGAACAGTGCTGGGGAAAGACAGTTCCTGCACTGTGTACTTGCACTTATGGGTATGCCCTTGATTTTATGTTGTACACATGATGCTTAATGGCCATACATTAGTTGTTGAATGATGTTTCAATTATTTCCTTTCTCAAAGACCTTTTCTCTATTGCTGAACATTTATGCCATCTCTACTTTTTATGTTTTATCATAAAATATGCCGTGATCAACATCCTTTGTACAGGATTTTTATTTTGTATCTGGCCCTTACCATCTTAAGAGCTCTAATTGCTTCTTAGTTGACCCTCTTGGGCCATAAGTCTGTACCCACATCATGTACAATTAACAACAATTCTGTTTCCTTTTGATAATATCACCTCTTATTTTTTGCTTTCTGTCATATTGCATCAGCTAGAACATCCAACATATTAAATGATAAGACACCAACATTATAGTAGTGTTTCCCCAAAAAGTATAGTTATCAGATGGGGAGAAATTTCTTATGTTAAGAAAAATTATTTCCTTTTGTTTATTCATCCTGAGACTGAATCCAGCAGAGATTATTACTTCTTTTCAGACTGGCTTAATTTTTATACTCCCTTTCAAATCTAAGATTCTTATTGCACATACATACATGTCGTTTGCCTAAAGGCTGTGCAAATTATCTGATCTCACATAAATAATATACAGTCTAAATGCAAAACAAGTGTATTATTGTAAGTGTTTTGAGGAATATTAGAAGACATTTCACTTGACTTGCAGAGGCTATAGAAAGGGTTTCATCCCTTTCCCTCTGTCTGTAGGCATCGTCCTGGATTCAGGGGATGGTGTCACCCACAATGTCCCCATTTATGAAGGCTATGCTCTGCCTCACGCCATCATGCGCCTTGACCTGGCTGGCCGCGACCTCACGGACTACCTCATGAAGATCCTCACAGAGAGAGGCTATTCCTTTGTGACCACAGGTATATAGTCCCTTTCCTGATTCTGACTTGAGCTCAGAACCAAAGATGATCTGGAGCTAGTAGTTCTCAGGGCTGCTGGGAAATCTGTGGCCCTCTGTCCTCAGGCTTTGTCGGGGCACAAATGAAAGACCTAGGCAGTGGCTATGTCTCCAGATAGTAAAGGCAGCTTTATTTGAGGAGGAAGCCTCCCTGCCAAGATGCCTTAGGGGGAGGGACAAGGTTAGGCCTCCTTTCCTTTCACAGCCTGTTCCCTCCATCCTTGTCTACACCAGGGTCAGAGCTGGTTCTTACAGACCTGAATGATAGTAAAGATCTGATGATGCATTCCATTGACTGAGGATGTATGACTTGTCTGAACAAAAGTAGAATAAGTAAGATCTAAATTTCTAAGGGGTAGGTATCCTGTCTCAGGTCTCACCTCCAGAGCAAGAGGAGTAATAGGTAATAGCTTTTCTAGATTTTATAAGATCACCACATATAAGCTGACAGAAATGTCTTCTGCAAGCTCCTCAGAGAGTCCTGAAGCTCCTTCAGGACACAGTGACAGTGATTAAGAGCAAGGAGAAAGACCCCATGTGAAGTCATGCTTGGGAATCAAGATTCTGACCTCCCTTTAGATAAAAGAATGAAACTGTTAGCATTCATCCTGAGACTGAATCCAGCGTACAAGAAGGAGGTTTTCATGGACATCAAAATGGGATGACCAAACTAACTGAACTGAGAATCTACTTTCTGTCATTGCTACTCCTTCCAGCTGAGCGAGAAATTGTGCGAGATATCAAGGAAAAGCTGTGCTATGTGGCCCTCGATTTTGAGAATGAGATGGCCACAGCAGCCTCCTCTTCCTCCCTGGAGAAGAGCTATGAGCTGCCAGATGGACAGGTCATCACCATTGGCAATGAGCGCTTCCGCTGCCCAGAGACCCTCTTCCAGCCTTCCTTCATTGGTGAGGTGCTGCAGCAGTCCCTGCCGTGGGGAGTGCAGGGTAGAGGCATGGGCGGGGGATGGGAAGAGAACACTGGTAGTCATGGATGCTTTATTCATTATTAACATATATATTTTTCCAGTAAGTATCAAAAGTTAAATAAAGAACATAACTTGATAAAATATAATTTTAAATAAAAGGGCATGGAAGTCAAATAAAGGGAAAGTAGAAAGGGACCATAACATAAAACGAAGAATGAGGTTAAGACACAAACCACTTCCTGAATCACTCAACATTTAAGTCATAAAGCTCAAAACTTACAGTAGTAACAGGGTGGATTGGAGGCAGAAAGTCCTACCAGCTTTTAAGTCTTAAAGCTTCCCCTCCGAAGCCTGTCACCTTGGATATGGCCTTACCTCAGTTTTCTCTTCTATAAAATGGAAATAATTATAGTGCCCACCAGAGAGGGCTGAAATAAGGAGTAATTAAGATATTGTTTAATATAAGGATGATTACTTTATTTTTTTAAGATTTATTTATTTATGCATACAGAACTGGGGTACAGGCCAGAAGCTCAGGGCGGTGAGAGGCTTCACCAGAGACAGAGTGGGGAGCAGAACAGGCAAACTGATGAAGTACACTGCGGAGGGGAGCAGCGGGTGGGTCAGGAGAGGTCTGCCACGCCATGTTGGTCACTTCCAGGGCAGGGATTGAACTCTCACCGAAGCAGCTGTGGCCATCTTAGCAGATGTTGTGCCTTAACGTGCTGAGCCACAAGGGAGGACCAAGGACAATTACTTTCTTGAGGAGTCCATAAGTAAATGTTGATTGTCATGTAGTAATATAGGCAGAAGCAATCAGGAAAACCTTCTAAGAGAAGGTGAGCCTTTGAACAGAACCTTAAATATTAGGTATTTCAGGGTATCTAGGGATGGAAGGGGTTCAGAGTAGGAAATGACCGTCAAGGTCAATGGAATAATATGTGCAAAGGCTTAGAGTAGTGGAAGATCATGTTCTATTTGGGACAAACTGGGAGCGTATGTGGTGTGTGTGTGTGTGTGCGCGCGCGTGCGCTTGAGAGGCTTTGAGCCACACTAAGAACATGAGGGTTAATCATATCAGTCATGGAAGCTTTTAGCAACAGTGTAGCAAGCGTTCAGATTTGTAATTCAGGAAGATTCATCTATCTACAATGTAGAATTACATCACACAGGGGAAAAAGGCTAGAGATGGGGGAGGCCAGGCTGTGGGCATGAGCTGGTCTGGCATGAAAGATCTTTCACTCTGGAAGGTCTTGGTGCAGGCTCAGGCAGTTAGGTGTCAAGCTTTAGGGATAAGGGAATTGTCAAAATGATGTTTTGAATAAGTTCCATATAATGCAATATTATTTGGCAATAAAAGAGGATAAAACATTGATAAATGTTATAACATAGATGAACATTGAAACGAGTATGCTAAGTTAAAGGAGGCAGACACAAGTTGTGATATTTGTATGATTCCATTTATTTGAAATATCAAGAATAGGCAAATGTATAGAGAAGAGAAATAGATTAGCATTTGCCTAGGGCTGGGAAACAAGGAAGGGAAAATGGGGAGTGTCCACTAACAAGCATGAACTTTCTTTCTGGGATGATAAGATGTTCTAAAAATAAATCATAATGATAGTTGCACCGCTCTGGGGACACACTAAACACAACTGAACTGTGTACTTGGAAAGGGTAAATAGGGCATGTAGATTATAAAGCTATGATGAAAGTGTTGTATAGAAATATACCTCAGGCAACAATGTGCAAGATCAATCAGAACTGGGGAAAACTAGAGGGCAAGCGATGACCAGTTAGAGGGTCTGATCTTGTCATCCATTTGGGAGGTGAGCAAGGGGCTGAATGAGGGTAGCTGCAGCAGCAGAGGGTCTCTTGGGGAGCTGGAGGTGTGTGTGTATGAAATGATGGATGTTAACTAGATTCTGTGATCTCCACGAGGCATGGAATCTGCTGGGATTCATGAAACAACATACAATTCCATCATGAAGTGTGACATTGACATCCGCAAGGACTTATACGCCAACAATGTCCTCTCCGGGGGCACCACCATGTATCCTGGCATTGCTGACAGGATGCAAAAGGAGATCACAGCCCTGGCCCCCAGTACCATGAAGATCAAGGTAGGTCTCTTCCTAGTTCCCTCCATTCTGTTCTTTGTACAGCGACCTTTGAACCAAGACAGACCTTCTACTTGGGAGATGCTCAGAATCAGGCTGTCAGACCTATTGGTGGTATCCTGAGCTCGGCGTCATCCTGGTTTGAGGCAGATTTCATCTCAAGGGCTATGGTTCCTTGGACACTGATGAGCCCAAGACATGTTTAATAAGGTTTCTCAAACATAATCACAAGGACACCATGAAAGAAATGGACAGAAGAGAATATTGGGGAGTTTGAGAAAAAAATTAGGACAAGGGAAACAGAGGGGAAGAAAAGAAGGAGGCAATGCTATCGCATCTTTAAGCTTGAAAAAGGATGTAGGTGTTACCTCAGAGAAAGATGAAAGTTCTAAAAGGGAACATTTGGCCACTGGACAGGCTGCCAGTTCAAATACACAGGGACAACCCTTGAGCCCTGGACAGCCTAATGCCCCTTCTTGGCCACAGCCCTCCCAACACTGCTTCTCATGGGGGCTTCTCACCTTGCTGGTCCCAGCAGAATGGCAGCCTAATTACTCCTCACACAGCCGCCAGCCCCCAAGCAATTAGAGACTTTTTAGGGCTTCTAGGAAATTTGCTGCTAACAGGTTTAGAAGCAGAATTAGAAATGGAATCAAGATTAAGATTGCAAGTTACAAAGTCTCACAGTAAAGCTGATCTCAGGGGGTGTGAGCAAGAGTATTCTCTATACCAGTAGTCTAAGAACCATCTTCACAAAGGGGTAAGCCTGTCCCCTGCTCAGCACAAGGACATAGAATGGGTCACCAGGAAACAGGTGAAGCTGATGGGCTCTTTGCCTCCCTGGTGCCACCACAGCAGCCCTGCTAACATCTGGGGGCATACATGCTAAGTCAGCAGCAAGACTTTTTTTAAAAGATTTATTTATTTATGCATACAGAACTGGGGTATAGGCCAGAGGTGCAGGGGCAGCGAGAGGATTCACCAGAGACAGAGTGGGGAGCAGAACAGGCAGATTGACGAAGTACACTGCTGAAGGGAGCAGCAGGCGGGTCAGGAGAGATCTGCCGCGCCATGTGGGCAACCCCAAGGGGGGGAACCAACTCATCCTGAAGTGGCTTTAGCTTCTTAGTGCTGTGTTTTAACCTGCTGCACCACCAGGGAGGGCCCAGCCAGACTTTTTATTGGGACCATTTGTCAGGATACCAGCCCTAGAGTCACCCCCAGATTCTAGTACAATAGGTCTTGGGTGCCCCCATTTGCTAGGGTGCTAAATGAATACTAATGACTTGAAGCATATCCCAGTTTATGAATCACTGCCCTGAATATAATAGCATGTGCCAGACTTCAAGGAGTTCAGCATCTAATTAGCAGACTTGATCAATAAAAGAACTACTTAACTAACATAAGAGGAGGAGAAAGAGCGCTCCAGAAAGGGGTGAGCAAAGCTGCCCAGAGTGTGTCTGAATGTCCAAGCAAATTGCTACCACTTTGGACAGCAGAGTTTATGTCAAGGAATCAGGAAGATAAGGCAAGACTCAAGGATATGGAGAAGAGCTATGGCATGGGGCTGGGTCTGGGGCTGAGACTTACGACCTCCAACCTAAAACAACCCATAGTTTTCTCATAGCTAGTACTGCCAGCAATAAAGTCTATTACCTTCTTACTGGCTGTGCCTATCCTTGAGGCATCTGTCCAAGGAGTGTGTAGGTAACTTTTATCTGCCTGAATGATAATTCTAAAAATCTTCCATATTCTGCAATTCCATGATGTTTGTAATTTAGGAAATATGTGGAGATGTTCTATGGAGACAAAACATTCCATTTAGGGTCTGCTTTGTTCTAGCACTGAATTCTTAGCTTCTTCAAAAAGTGGGAAATGAGGTAAAGAATTAATCCTCCTGGGTCCACTTTTAAGTTAAAAGTAGTCTGATATGACAACCAGTTTCTAAAAGCTAAGTTGAGGACTTCCAATGGCAATGTATTATGAATTTTAGAACAAGTAGCTGGAGCCCTTCCTAGTGGCACAATGGGTTAAAGCATAGCACTATGAAGCAATCTGTAGCCACTGCAGCATGAGTTCAATTCCCTACCAGGTAGGTGACCCACATGCATGGCAGACCTCTCCTGGCCTGCCTGCTGCTCCCCTCAGCAGTGTATTTTAGTCAATCTGCCTGTTCTGCTCCCCACTCTGTCTCTGGTGAAGCCTCTCACCCCCTGCAGCTCTGTTCTGTATGCATAAATAAATCTTTAAAAACAAGCAAACAAACAAACAAACAAACAAAAGAACAGGTAGTTGTTGACAGATGAAGTTCAAGACATAGTTTGAATACACTAGCTCAGACTGAAGAATGGAGGAGGCCCATCCAAGCAGCCTATGCATCTAAATACCAGAGCCAAACAGTGCTGGCCCTTCATCCTGGGCCCCATAATGTAAGAACTGGACCTAATTTGAGTAGAGCAGTAGAGCTTTCTAAAGAAGCCTCAGCTACATCAGCTGACTTCCAGCAGACCTATAGATGAACAAAAAATAAAGGCTTATTGTCATGTGCTTTGAGACTCTATAGTTGCTTGTTACTCAATAAGAGCTGATGAATGCAAATATCTATAGGGGTAGCACTGTTTGGTTCTGGAGTTTAGATGTATAGGCCTCTTGGCTAGGCTTCCTCCATTCCTCTGTCTGAGCTAGTGTACTCAAACCATTTCTTGAACTCTGTCAAGAGCTATCTGTTCTTAAATTCATATATACATTGCTGCTGAAAGTCACTGATCTAGCTGAGGCTTCTCTAGAAAGCTGTGTAGCTCAACTCAAATAAGGTCCACTTCTCACATTATGGGGCCCAGGATGAACGGCCAGCAGCTCCTTAGGGGAAGCTCTTCTCATGAAGATGCCAGAGGCACAAGCGAGCATGCCCAGGTACATGTCTGAAGCACACTGAAAGCTCTGTTTGTATCATGTCTACTAATATCCTCTTGAACAGAACAAATATAGGGACCAGTTGATACTTATTTCACAGGGTAGAACCATGCACTCTTTCTACAGAGAGGCAGGTAGATGGGGAGTATTTCACAGGGTAGAACCATGCACTCTTTCTACAGAGAGGCAGGTAGATGGGGAGTAAAGATGTGAGCAATAATCCAACCTACCACAAGGTCTACCCAGTTCCTTTCTGACCACGGACACTGTCCTTTCCCAGGCAGCCTTCAGGGCGGTGAGGCGATTCCTGGATCACATTTCCTGTTCTTTGGGGCAGATCATGACTCACTCCATTTACTCTTTGCAGATTATTGCTCCCCCAGAGCGGAAGTACTCAGTCTGGATTGGAGGCTCCATCCTGGCCTCTCTCTCTACCTTCCAGCAAATGTGGATCAGCAAGCCTGAGTATGACGAGGCAGGGCCTTCCATTGTTCACAGGAAGTGCTTCTAAAGTCGGAGGAGATTCTTTGGGAATCTCCTTGAGACTGCTCTGTTACCAACCACAAAGCATTAAAACTTTCAAGCTTTACTTCTTTGTTGGGGCTTTTTATTTTTTTCTGGTTCTGTCTCACACGTTTTCAATCTTTCTTCTGTCTACACACTGACCCTCTGAGGGAAGTACTATCATTATCCCCATATTACAGATGAGGAAACAGAGGCTCAGAGAAGTTAAGGTCTTGCTGAAGCTCACACAGAACCAGTTAGTATTTCTTTTATGCCATCTTGTTTCCTTTTCCTTAAATGTAGCAATAAGGGCTAGAAAATTGGTGGTGGGGGGGAGGTGTAAGGTGAGGTGGAGCAATAGGTAAGAAACAAGGCCTTTCATGAGAATTCAGAGAAAAAGGAACTCTCCTACACTGCTGGTGGGAATGCCGATTGGTCCAACTGCTATGGAAAGCTTTGTGGAGGTTCCTCAAATTGCTAAAAATGGACCTCCATATGATCCAGCAATTCCACTCCTCGGTATCTACCCAAAGGACACAAAGACATTAGAACACCTGTGCCCCTATGTTTATTGAAGCACTATTTACAATAGGTAAGCTATGGAAACAACTCAAATGCCCCCAAATAAATGACTGGATCAAGAAGATGTGGTATATACACAAGTAAAAATCAAAATCAACAGGCAACTATAAAGCAGAAAGGGAGCAGGAGGGGGAGGAAAATGAATCAAAACTGGGGTGGGAAGAGCACAAGGGACTATGGTGATGGTGCATGGCATGGGTGAACTGGTAGTGGGAATTTCTTGGGGACCATACATACACAAGATGATAAATTATACATTGCATAAAAATGAAGAATGATGTAAAATACATAAACATTTTAAAAAATTTAAAAAGTGAGTGAGGTGTTTTTCAAAGGAAAGAAAAAAAGAAGGCTTTTCAGAAAGATTGAATCCTCATAGTTGCAGGTGATACAGGGAAAACATGAACAGAAAGAAAAGCACAAAGCCTATAGGATGGGAGGTATCAGTGATTCAAACATTCAAACATGTTACTAAGCTTAGGTCACAGTTAGTTTAAGATCTCTGAGGTCCATTTATTATTAGGCTGCATTTTGCTCCAAGAGCTTAGCAAGAAAGTGGCAGCACTGTTAACAGTGCAAAAGGAGAGGAATATCTTCTCTCCCCTTTTGTTCCTCCCCCTCTTCTTCCTCCCCTTCCTTTTTGTCTCCCTGTGTCTTCTCTTTCATTACTTGCCGCCCCCCCCAACCACACCCATTCCCTGCCCTTGGTCAGTTTGTTTAATTTTACAAGTATTTACTGACTTTGGATCACATAGAATTGCTGAGTATGGCCAAGTGGGATTTTGTACTTATCATCAAAGATTATTCCTGCCAATCAGGATATTATGCAAAAAGAGACAATGACTTAAGATGAAACAGAAGCACCCCCAAAGTACAATGAGACAGTAATGAATGATAATAATAGCTAACATTATTGAGTGCTTATAAGATGCTAGGCATTAGGTTAAGAGCTTTATGTGGATTTCCTCATTTAATCCTCACCACAACCCTATAAAGCAGGTACTAGTATCATTCCCATTTTATTTCTTTTGAAGATTTATTTATGCACATAAGAACTGAGGCATAGGCTAGAGGTGCAGGGTGGTGAGAGGATTCGTTACAGGCAGATCTACTGAAACACTTCTGAGGGGAGCAGTGGGTGGGTCAAGAGGTCTGCTGCACCCTGTGGGTCACCTCCCTCTCTGGGGGTGGGGGATGGGGATTGAACTTGTGCTGCAGTGGCTGCAGATAGTTTCATAGTGCTATGCTTTAACCTGAAGCGCCACCAAGAAGGGCCCCTCATTCCTGTTTTATAAGGAATCTACTTTAACTAGGTCACTTAACTAGTTAATAGCAGAATTAGGTCCTTTCCACCTAGTCAGGTCCCATCCTTGACACTCCTAAGTAGACCCCACCGTGTTCATGAGCTTTCCCAAACACACCTATTTGGAGACTGTGGAGTAGGAACCTCAACTTCAGACATTCCTTGTTCACCAGCCCTTCGCTTGTCTAGTGGAGTGGGTTCAAACCCCACCAGAAGATTTGTTTTAGGGCGAATTTCCCAAGCAGACCTTTACATCCAAGTGATTTATTAAAGTGCTCTTAAGAGAGGGCCCTTCCTGGTGGTGTAGTGGGTTAGAGCACAGCACTAAGAAGCTAAAGCCACTTCAGCATGAGTTCAATCCCTGCCTGACCTGGAGGTGACCCACATGGTGGGGCAGATGTCTCCTGACCCGCCCACTGCTCCCCTCAGCAGTGTACTTTGTTAGTTAGCCTGTTCTGCTCCCCACTCTGTCTCTGGTGAATCCTCTCACCGCCCCTGCACTCTGGCCTGTACCCCAGTTCTGTATGCATAAATAAATCAATCTTTAAAAAAAAAAAGTGCTCTTAAGAGAAACGAGTAAGTATACTGCCCAGAGGGATCTCCAGGCAAAATTCCCAAAAAGTAGATTCAGCCTGGGCCCCAAGGAGCTCTAGCCTATAAGCCTGATTGAGGCAACAGAGCCAGGCTTTGCACTGTCACTTTTCTCATTAGTGATGGATGTAGGTGTACCCTTCACAGAAGGGGTACGGGGAAGGACGTGAATTCCCAGACTTTCCACCTGTGCAGAGAAGTGATTCCAGTAGTTTGAGGGCAGTTCTGCAAATTGCAATCACAGACCTGGGCTGTTAGAGTACTGGGGGATGCAGAGGTTGGTCTTGGGGGATGTAGGCAGGCCTGCCCCCTCCCCCCCCACACACTCCAGCCTGGATGGGATCCAAGGAGAGTTGCGGTACTGACACTGTTCCTCACACCCCTTGCAATCAGATAGCTATCTTGAAAAATCTCCCACCTCTGAAAGTGTTGCCTGAATGTCGGTTTGCCTGTACACTGCTGATTTGACTCTTTTGGCTTAATCTTGCAAGGTGCAGCACCCTTGATAGCGTTTCATAAATCATTAGTTCTGGGGTCGTTATGCCGATGGAGTGTGACAGGGCAAAGCCTGTCAGGGCCTCATCCAGTGGCAGCAGCTAAGAACTGTCCCTGTCCCTCTGAAGAGTACAATTCTTCCACAGCAGGACTCCACTCATACTTACCAAGTCTAACTTACCAAGTCTCCCTACTCGTTCTCACCCTTTCACAAATGCATCCGAATACCCACCTCCATCCTACCCCACCTGCCAGTCAGCTCCCCCATCATTGTTTAGACCCACACAACCCAATCTGTCCAGTTTAAAACGCGGTTCATCTCCTTTCTTAACCTCTACCCGGTTACCTTAATGGGATTTTTGGCTATTTATGCAAATCGATTAGGCAAACATTCATATTCATTTAAAACAAAATAAGAGGTAGGGTGCAGTTGAACAAATTTGTTGATTATTCACTAATGTACCAGCTTGTGCTGAGCCTTAACAAGGAATGGGGGGTGGGGGAATTAATTTGCGTAAATCATCAGATTGCATCATTTTCACACTTAAAGTCGTCCAATTTCTTCCCATTTAGAATAAAAACAGCTGGAAAACAAGAACCCTCGTTTAAAATTTCAATTAGAGAATTGTCTTTAAAGTCACACAAAGATGCAATGTGATATTATTCTTTGTTTTAATTGAGGTAACGTTGGTTTACGACAGCGTGTATGATTCAGAACCACTGGTTCAGAGGTGTTAGCACACCCCGCCCATCTACCACCACCAGTCCTCGGCCGCGGTCCATCAGCCTCCCCCGCTGTAACCTCCGCTTACGGTTATATCTCTTTTTAAACTGTACCGGCCCAACTAACAAAAACGAAGGGGCGAACATGACCCTGGCAAGTTCAGTATCCACAAACTCTCCTCCACCCCCACCCGGAGGATTTCTACAGCCACGCTTCTCCACAAACGTCGCGATAGCAAAGTGTTCGCTTTTGACCTCTCGACCCCACCCACTTCCTGCCTGGCGATCTTCTGACGTCAGAAGCGCGCCGGAGCGCGTGAAGGCGGTGTCGGGGGCGGAAGTGCTTTCAGCGGAAGTGACATTTGCGCGAATCGTGGGTGGGATGACAGCGGGCCGGCTCTTTCGAAGGCTCCTGCGAGCACCCTCCACTTCCATGGCTCAGAGCCCACTCGAGAGCGTGCCCCCCTTCAGGGCCCTGCACGGGGAGCGCGGGCTCCGAAGGCTCTCCATCGAAGGCAACATTGGTAAGGGCCCATAGTGGCTGCCCTGCCTTGGCCCCCATGGAGCAGGTGCCTGAGAGGCTGGGAAAGGGAGCAGGACCCCATCTAATACTGCGGGGCTGCTTATTCAAAGTTGCTAGGGCCTTTCCCCTCCCAAAGTGTACTGTTAGCCTTTGCCTTTCTGATTGTTAGGACGTCAGGCCTAAGGACTCTCCCACAGGGATGCATTTGGTGGTCCTTAAAAGCCATGCAGGCTGTAGGTAGGGTTAAGTTATAGTTTGTTTTCGAGATGAAAACGACAAGGAGTAGGACGCTTGCTCTCCCAAGACAGGGTTGCTATATTTAGGAGAAAAAAGCTACCCGTTTAATATAGGATTTCAGATATTATGTGCCCAATGCAGTATTTGGGGCACACGCACACAAAACTAATTCGTTATCTCACATTCATATTTAACTAGATGTCCTGTATTTTATCTAAACTTGTTCAGTTTAATTTTTGCCATATCCCTGAGCTTGTCCCACTATTTATTAACGTTTTTCTTAAAAATGTGTATAAATTAAAAATTAACTGTTAGAAGAGTAGCGACACAGTATTTTAAAAGTCGAAAAAACTAAAACTTTCAGTTTAGTATAGTTAAACTGAAACGTTCAGCTTGGTGTAACTTAAGTCCTGAATTGATGCTTTTACCTACAAGGGTGCTGAACCCTGCAGGGAATCAGCAGAGATTGGGTGTTGAAGATAGACTAGCAACAGATTGAGAATTTCTCACTTTATTCATTCAACAAATAAATTTTGAGCCATTTCCACATGTGCTTGGCCCTCAGGAAACCACAGTGAACAGAACAAACAAATCTCACTCTCACGGAACTCTAGTAGAGATGGAAAATAAATCAATAAACAAAGTAAGCAGTATATTAGACTGCTAGTAATGAGTAATGAGACTGTTAGTAATGAGTGTAGTGAGGAAACTCAGGTGAGGGGCTGAGTGGAATTGTAATTCTAAATAGCATAGTCAAGACAGGCCTCCCTGAGTTAAGTGACCTTTGAGCAAAAACCTGAAGGGAATGAACCATGTGTATAACTTCAGAATATTTTAGACAGAGAGAAGGCACATGCTAGGCCCTGAGGTAGTAAGGGTGTCTAGGGAACAGTGTGCCAAACAGTTGTGACTAGACGGGAGTGAATAAAAAGAATGGGGGAGATGACAGAATATAAGGGAGGTGGTCACATTATCTAGGCCTTGTAATTCAACATGGGTTTTTTATTCTGATTGAGGTGAGAAACCATTAGAGGTTTTGAGCATCAAGAGGCATGATTTGACTTAGATTGTAGAAAGATGACTGACTGATCCAGGTACATCTTGGAGATCTCGGAGTTTGGTTCCAGATCACCACAGTAAAGTGACTGTGGCCACACAGGGAGTCTGGAAATGTTTGGTTTCCCAGTGTATATAGAAGTTATGTTTATACTCTGCTGTAGTCTACTTAATAGACTACAGCATTGTGTCTAAAAAACCAATATCCGTACCTTAATTAAATGTGACACAGACAGGAAGTGAACACTTGCCTTTGGAAAAATGGTGCATGTAGACTTGCTGTAATGTTCCAACAGACCTTCAATTTGTAAAAAAACAAAACAAAACAAAAAAACACCATTGTGAAGCACAGTAAAACAGTATGCAGTGAGGGGTTGCCTGTATGTTGAAAGTAGAAAATGACAGGAAGTTAGTGCAAAAAAGTAAGTTATAGTCAGTTGGCCCATCATGGTAACATGGAGGTGATAAGGGAGTACATTTAAGGTAGGACTTAGTAACAGGTAGATGGACTTAGTAACAGGTAGATGTGGGGTGTGAGATATAGAAGGATCGGTAATAATGCCAGTCATTTTTGGCCTGAAAGATAGAGTTCTGATTTCAGGGTTTTTGTTTTTGGTATATTATGTATTCACACTGTTAGATATCGAAGTGGATGTTGAATAGAAAATGAATATATGAGTCTAGAGTTCAGAGTCTCTGTATCAGAGTTACAAATGTAGATGGTATTGAAAGTTAAGCAACTCGGGGTATTGATGGAAAGTACTAAAACCCTGGAACACACAAATATTAAAGAGATCGAGGAGATGGAAAGAACCTTAAAAAGAATGAAGTAATGACCAGTGAGATATGAGAAAAGTCAGTAGAGAATGCGATCCTGGGAGTCAAGTGAAGTGTGCTTGGGGGAGAGAATGATCAGCCGTGCAATGCTTCAGATGCTGGAATTGTTAGGTGAACTTCTGAAGCATTTTTAAGAGCAGTAGGGATGAATGTCAAGTGAGGTTTGAACTGCCTCTCCCTATTTTCCTGACCTTTGCCTCCTAACCTTTCTGATTTCAATGCTGCTTTCTTGATCTCATGCAAATAAGGCTCAGTGTACCTATTATGAGGATGGACTCATGTGATAGTGCTCCTGTCTTTTAAGGAGCTCACAACCAAGTGGGAGGAGCAGATTTATAAACTTGATTTCTGTGGAACATCTCTGAGGTAGGAATTTCCAAGGGACAGAAGTGGAAAAGGAATATTTCAGGGACAGGAAGTAACATTTGCCAAGGCAAATCCTGAAGAAATACATACAGTTTTAATAATAGGGCAGCAGTTGTGTACTTGTATTTTAAAGGCCTGTAAGAGGATGGCAGAACAAGAGTGTGGAAGGTTAGGGTTTGCCAGATTTTGAATGGTCTTCTGAACTGTGCTAGGAGTTTCTTTATAGGCAGTGGGAGGTTACTGCAGACCTGAAGCCAGGTATTACATAACCAAATTAATTTTTCAAAGGAAAATGGCTGCTAGAATGAGCAAATAGAAAGTTCTATAAAGGTGGCACTTTACGATCTAAGTCTTGGTTGCTGTAATACCCATAATTCTTTGTATCTGGTGAGTTTGGCATAGACTAGTTATACAAATAGTGTAGTAGTAGTTGGAGAGAGGGAAATTTCAGGCCTGAATGGAAGGAATGGGGAGAGAGAGTAATGGCTTGAAAGAGATTTTGGAGGTGGAATTGACAGGACTTGGGGACCTTTTGGAGGAGTGAGGGATAAAGAGATGTAGAAGATTAACAGTGAGGTATGTAATTTGTTCACTGACTCTGAAAACTGAGCATGGGAATAAAGGAAGAGGAAGTCAGCAGAGCTTAAGAGTGTTATGTGTGGAGTGCCTCAGAGACATTGAGAGATAATGTGCCTGAAGTCGAGAGAAATAGGGGCTGAGGTTTCAATATGAAAAGTTGGTAACTTGGGGCAGTTTTTGAAGTTTTAGAATGAATGAAGCTGACCAGTGAAAGTCTGACTAATGAGAAGTAGACAGGTAAGATCTCAGTGTGGCTCTTCCTTGTTTTATTTCCTTTCACTACATCACCCCACATACCCTGATGACTCTCCTCAGACAGAATTAGTCACTGCCTCCTCTGTATGCTCTCATAACAGTTTGTACCCAAAACTGCTGCAGCACTTGCGTTCTATTGAAGTTGTTTGCACATTCAATACCTTCCAAGGGTTGGCCACTTCCTGTCTTGTTCATCTTGCATCATCAACACCTAACCCCCTACTGACCCATTGTATTTATGCTATATTTACCAGATATTTGAATCCTGTGCAGTAATATTCATACACAAACTAGTCAGCAGTAACAAGGAAATATATTAAACTGCTTTTATAATCAAATCAAGAGTTAGCTTGTTCTCTGTCACAGGTGGCGCCCCCATCCCTCAAACAAATCAGAGTGAAGTACCTATTCAGGAAACATGAACTTCTGTCCTACTGTGGTTAGATAGTTTTTAGAGGGACTTTTCTTGTTAGTCATGTTGCCCTAAATCTTATCATACCCTGCATGATAGATGCAGAGAGCAGCAGGTAGAGAAAATTGGTCTGTGCAGTAGCAGCTAGTGGCATCTAACGTGTGATGAAGCCATATGCCCTGTGTGACTGAAAATTGAAAACCTGGTACCTCGAATACCTGAAAATCTAAAAAAACAAGGTGCTTAGCCTGTCTTTTGAGTGTATTCATCACTGATGTGTATTATGGGAAAGTGAGTTATTTTATGCTTTCAAACCTAATTTGCAGAAAGGATTGCTATAGGAAATGTTGCCAGTGAGTCATCGCAGACCATTCTCATTTTGATTTTCAAAGACCCTGCTAAGGAGGAAATGGTTTCATACTTTTGCAGTTTAGAAATTTACACATAAATCAGTGGGAGTTTTCCTAGTAACAGGTCCCTCCAGCATTCAAAGTGAGTGACTTAGTGTCACTAAGATGTATCTTATACTAAATATATAAACAACTGGGCAAAGAAGCCCCAGGGGGAACAGGCAGATGCCTGTTTATTCCAAACATTGTATATTGGATTCTCTGTTTTTGTGATTCACCTCCTTCCTTCCATCTAGCTTCATTCTTAATACCTGGCTAGATACTCAGGACACAAAGAGAATAAGGTCTTCAGAAAGCTAGCTCCTACTCTAGCTGGAGAGAATGATGATTCAACAAATAATTAGTGTTAATTTACTTTGGTAAACCAGAGCAGGCAGTAATTAACTCTGGTTAGGGATGAAGTAGAGCTGGAGATAGTTCAAGGAGGCATCAGGGAGAAGGCGGCAGTGAAGGGATGAATCAATTGGGGAAAGTGAGGGTGGAGGGCATTTCAGATCAGATAGTTTAGATGGCTTCCTCATGGAAGCCATGAGGATTTTGGGGAGGTTGGGGGGAAGATAAAGTTTGTCATGAGAAGAAAAGGAATCAGGGCAAACCTATTAAATTTCTTTTAAGCCTGCTGAGTGATTTTTATTAAGTTTTCCCAGAATGCTTTTAAGAATGCCTATCTGATCCTGGGTGCTTAGTTTCAGAGTTGGATTGCAACCTAATTTATCATTTAGTTACAGTACCTGCCCTTTAGTAACTACTCCATCAACATCTGTTTACATGGAATGAATGAGTGAGTGACTGCAGCACCAAATGCAGTTCCTGAAATAAAAGCTTTAAATTTCTCTGGAAGAATGTTTTGTTGCTTAAGAGAGTTTTATATCTATTGCTTTCGTTTGTGTTTTGGTTAAAGAGTTTCAGAATTGGGTTTCCCCCCACCATCACCACCCATGTTTTTGCCTGGAAGAGATGATATAGTTAAGAAGTTCCCTTGAAATGTTGGATTCTCTGTTTCTGTGATTCACTTCATTCCTTCCATAAAGGAATTTAAATTTAAATTTAAAATAATATAGCATATTGTTTTGTGTTACCTCAGATGCTATCTTATTACCAGATTTTAGCACAATGTAGCTATTGCAGCTTTACAGAAAAATTGTGGGAGGAAAAACCCATGATAGGAAAAGGATGAACATTAACAACTCTTCCGTCTAATACGTGGCATGATAATCCTGGTGTTGAAAGAAGTCAGCATGCTGAAGTAACATACTACTCTCATCCTTTTCTTCAGCATGGCACAAAGAACAAGGTACAGTGATCAGCAAGGCCTTAAGGGAAAGTTTGATGCTGCTTTTGACATCTGACAACTCCCAAATTTCATAATATTGAAAGATAACAGTTAAACTGGGATCTAAGTCATGATCATGAAGTCATAAGAGCTTGTCCCTGCTGAGACTTGACAAAAGGAGGAATTTGTCCGCTTGGTTCAGTGTTACCTGAAGAAGAGAGGCTTTTGGTGGACACGGGTGTTCTGGTCACTAGTAAGAGGTGAGTGTAGCAGTAGAGAACCAGATAGTCTCACACTTGCAAAGTCATGGCAGCACTTTAAAATATAGCTTTTAAAAAAACTATGAGGGCCCTACCTGGTGGCGCAACTGGTTGGGACGCAGCATAGCGACAGCTGTTCAGTGAGAGTTTGATCCCCACATGGCACAGCAGATCTCTCCTGTCTTGCCCGCTGCTCCCCTCAGCAGTGTACTTGATCCATCTGCCTGCTCTGCTCCCCACTCTGTCTCTGGTGAATCTGTTCACTGCCTTTGTACCTCCGGCTTGTACCCCACCTCTGTATGCATAAATAAATAATAAATCTTTAAAAACAAAACAAAACAAAACAACTATGAAACTCAACCAGGAAGAAAACAACTATTACAGTCAGATATCACAGCACTGAAAAAAAAGTGATGCTGTGTCATTTGAACACAAATATGTAACTGAATTATTTTATTTTAAATACCCCACTTGTGTGGGCAGTGCCTGGCGCAGACCAATTCCATTGGGATGCAAGTTGAGAAATCTTGCCCTTTGGTAAATTACTCAGGCTCCCAAGCCCTGCAGCAGCATCGATGGTACAACCTGGGACCTTGCATCCTCACTTACAGTCATTCTAGCCATAAGCTGAGTACTAAGGTGGCTTTCCAAAAGCTTTGGAATGGGGAGACGGGTGCAGTGTGGGAAAGTTACCTTGATGTGATTGTTCTAGTAACAGGAACTGTTTATTCCCCATCACATCTTAATTTGTTGGCATTCTGGGTTTTTTGTGTTTAAATAGCACAAGTTGTCTTCATTGAGTCTTCACTGCTCTCAGATGAACTGGTGGTGTCTGGTCTGAGCAGTGAGGCAGTGACCCTTCCTTTCCATCTGCAGTAGTTTCTTAGGTAATTGTCTTTGACTGCTGAAAAACTTAGATTAAGTCCCACCTATCTAATAATTGCCTTCATCTTTTTATATCAGTCAGAATAATTTTTCAGCTTATAGAGACCATGTTTTAGACTTTTCAACAACCTGCAGTCTAAATATTGACCCTCTGTGCCAAACATTTAAACTTAAGGCAAGCAGGTATCTGATAATATACAAATTCAACTTATTGGTAATTCCTGCCACTCTGTTAGGTACATTGACAGCTCCAGAGAGTTTTATTAGTTGTCTGGTTTGTGATTTTGGAATCTACATTCCCCTCCAAAAAAACCCCAACAAACCCAAACTCCTTTTTGGTTTTGATAGGAATTTCAACATGCATCAGTATCACTTGGCATAGTTCTAAAATTTGGAGTCCTGGAGTCCAATCCTAGAGATTCAGATCCTGTTAGGAAACCAAAATTGAGACCCATGAAACAAAAAATTAAATGCTAAACACATATCATAGGTATAGCTTGATTCCAAATTAGCATGAGCTAGAGAAGGCCTGTACCTTATGGCAGTGATGGGGCCTTAGGCTTGGTAGGACAAAAGCTGTAGACACAGGCCTTAGAAGAGCAGGGGAAGGCATTTATTCACTGGCGTGTGGGAAGAGCAGAGGCTATGCAAATGTGCAAAGGCACACAGGAGTTGGGTGGAGGTGGCGCTGGCATGAGCGTGACTGTACCAAATGCAGATTCATGTTGTTTGTTCTTACCCTGTGTGTTCAGAGAGGAGTCGGAGTGGTGTGTGTTAAATGTCACATATTGAATGTGTAGGCTTTCCTGCTGAGACATCTCACTCCTGATCAGTAGCCATGAGGGACTAACACCATCGAATGGGCAGGTGCCACTGTTACTTTTCTTGGTTCCCTTTGGGATTCTCCTGAGAGTAGAGCTCACTTGAGAAAGGTTCTCTCTGATAGAAGAGATTGAGCTCCCAAGCACAGTCAGGGCTCACTGTAGGAGTCCATCTAAGCAGAATCTTAAAAGATTGGGTTGGAATTGGGCAGTGAGGAAGGTGCTCCAGGAAATGGGAAAATATGCAAAGTCATATTCCCACAGGAGAACATGGTGTGATCAGACTTAAAAGGAATTAGGTCCGGCAGGAGGGAAGCTGAAGCCAAAGAGATGTATGCAGGGGCCAGACCTCAAGATGTGTTGTAGACCAGACAGTTGGATTTTGTTGTTAAAGCAAAAAGAAGCTGTCAGAGGGTTTAAAGCAGTGTTGTTTTATGTTCAGTTTGAATGACAGGATTGAAGGCCACAGTGGGAAAGTAAGAGATAGGAGCCTAGTTTTGAGCATAGAGGTGAGAATGGAGAGAAAAAGGTGGGGGAAGTTTCAAAGGCTGGTCCAAAGGGCCTGGCACCACTTGAGTTTTGGTAGAGGAGGAAGTTCCAACAGTGAGTGGATAGTGCTGCTATATCCAGAGGTCTGGGACATACAGAAGTGCTGTTTAGTGGGGAAGATGAATTCATTTAGGGGTATATAGACAGAGGTGTCTGTGGCATGTCCAAATGGAGATGTCTAGAGTCCAGACGTTGAAAATGGGAAAAGAGAACTTGAATGTTGTGGTGCCAGATTGATTTCATCTCAAAATTTCTCAGAGAGACCATACTTTTCACCTTCTCTGCCATTTTAGTTCAAGCTGTTTTTTTTTTTTTTAAGATTTATTTATTCATATAGAACTGGGGTACAGGCCAGAGATGCGGAGGATGAGAGGATTCACCAGAGACAGCGTGGGGAGCAGAACAGGCAGATGGACGAAGTACACTGCTGAGGGGAGCAGCGGGCGGGTCAGGAGAGGTCTGCCACGCCACGTGGATCTCCTCCGGGGCAGGCGGGAATCGAACTCATGCGGAAGTGGCTTAAGCTTCTTAGTGCAGTGCTTTAACCCGCTGCGCCACCAGGGAGGGCCGGTTTCAAGTTGTTTTTTAACTTCTAACCGGCTGCCCACTTTACTTTATGCATCCATTCTTACACAGCTGTCAAAGTAATCTTTTAAAAATGAGATGGAAACTTGTCATTTCCTTGCTTAATTAAGCTCTATGTCATCACTGACTTCTCATTGCCCTTAAAATTCAAACTTCTTATCAGGACTAGAAGGCCTGAGTCACCTGCCCACCTGCCACACTGCCTCTTCCATGTTCATGGTCTCGTGGTCTCATGACCACAGTGGAGGTGCACTCACTTGTTCAAGGCCATAGATGTCTCTGTCTTGTATGACAAGTTCTTCTTTTTTCCCTGATCTTTGTTCGTGCCGCTCCCTCTGCCTGGAATACTGTTCTCCCACCCACAGCCTGGCTAATTCCTCATCTTTCAAGTCTTACCTCTGATGTCATTTTTTCAAAGGACCTCCTGAGCTATAGTAGAACGATCTTGCATTTTTCTTTCCTGGCATCCTCTAAGTTACTTGTGTGTCATTAATAACTGTCTCCCATATAAGCTCTTTGAGGGCAAAATCCCTCCTGGGTTTTGTTAACCATTGTACCTCTAGTACCAGAAAGTCCAAGCATGTAGCCCTATGCCAGAGAGCTCATGAACATTGGTTAGATTTGTTGAATGAATGAGAGTCATAATCTTCATCTTCTATCTGAAAAAACTTGCAATTTTTACACTGTCACAGAATAAATAGGACTGTGATTCAAACTTGAAATTTATGTAGCTGATTTCATCAGCTTGTGGCAGCCTATCATTTTCAACTGTTATTAAGCTACTCTCCTCTGGGAGGTTGGGATATTAAAATTGGAAGTGAAGTCTTAATGGTATTTTGCCTCCCTGTTGCCTGTATTCACTATGGTGACTGGTCGGCATGGACTCACCCATCATCGGTGTGCCAGCGGCATGGCTACTGAGTTTTGAAAGTGGAAAGACTGGCACTTGTTCCCTTGCATTGGGCATTTGTGGCAGAGTTCAGTAGCAGCCTTCTTCTCAGCCCTGATTTGAAACGTGTCCCATCACATGCTGTTTGCATTGCAGCTGTGGGAAAGTCCACCTTTGTGAAGTTACTCACGAAAAGTTACCCAGAGTGGCACGTAGCTACAGAGCCTGTAGCAACATGGCAGAATGTCCAGGCTGCTGGGACCCCAAAAGTAAGTTTTTGGTTGCTGTGGTTAGTTGGCTGGCATGGGTGAGTAAACTAATTGTAATAATCTAATTTGCTGTGAGTAGGTGAAGTAGCCCAGTTTTGAGTCTCCTTTTTTTAAAAAATACTTTCATTCCAGAAGGCAGACCACATTCACCAGAGAGGATATGTCTTGTTTGAATATGTTCAGTTTTGACTTTTGTGGGCTTCGGTATGTCTACATACCTCTTGTGTGTGTTTGTGTGTGTGGTTTTTCGAAAGCATGTCTAGCCATCCTAGCTTTGAAGATTTATTTTGTCATTCCTCCCTTTAAGTGTATTACTATTACTGAAGCTGACCATCAAAAATAATAGTTAATTACAGTGGTTTTAAATTACAGTTTTAGAAATTATAAGGGGCCTTAAGAGAGCACATCTGGCCCTCCCTGGTGGCGCAGAGGGTTGGAGTCCAGCACTGAGAATCTGAAGCCTCTTCCACATGAGTTCGATTCCCGCCTGCCCCGGAGGAGACCACATGGCGTGGCAG